AGGGTTGGTGGTACAGGTAGATACAATAGGATGTTTAAGGGGCTTTTAAATAAGCTGTAATCTTGTATACCTTGCCCTAAGCACCCTATGATCTGCCTGTACTACTCGCAAAACAAAGCTTTTCACTGTACGTAGATACATGTAACTACAACAAATCAAACATGCAAGGAATGGATGGATATGGGCTAAGGTCAGGCAGAAGAGATTAGTTTAGTTTGACATTATGTTTGGCACAACATCACAGGCTGAACTTTTCTAAGTTCTAAACTATACCAAAGGAAGCCCTACAGATTAAGAGTACAACTTCAGTTCCACTTGAGAAACAGATGGTTCAGTTATTGTAGTAAAAGACTTGGCCCAAGCTTGGTGGGATAAAATTGGTTGAGAAAGAAAGATTCAACTTGATTGGTTGCCTGTGTAAAGTCTAATTAAGTACTTGGAAGATTTTTAAGGAAGGTCTGGGGACTATCAAAGGGGCCAAGGCCACCTTACACGTTGACCAAGCGATTCCAAAGATGCCATTTGCCTTATGTACAGAAGTACAGGCAGAAATCGGGAGGCTGAATAGCAAAGGAATCATCAGTAGTTTGTGGAATGGGCAGCAGTCATACCGACTACGTAGCCGGACAAGTTGGTTTGCCTTTTTCGGGATTCAAACAAGTGGTAAACCACTTGTTGCGGCTGGATAAATACCCTTACATACAGAATTTATATTCAAAACTGGTAGGAGGGATGCTGTCCCTCACAAAGCTGGACATGAGCTATGCATACCTGCAACTGCAATTAGATAAGAATTCCCAGAAGTATACTACAATTAATATCATAGGGTTTGACCCATATTCAAGATTGCCTTTTGTGGTATTATCAGCCTGCACCACTTTCTAGCAGACAATGGAGAATAGTTGCAAAGCCTACCCCGGGTTATCATTGGATGACCTGATAATAACTGGTAAGACCAATAGAGAGCATTTAGAGAACTAAGACATCATGCTTAAACATTTCTCCAAGCCAGGTGCTCACCTTAGGAGGGGGTAGTGTGTGCTCTTGGCACCCCAAGTGACCTACCTGGGCTACATAGTCGACATGACTGGGTTACACTCATTGGAAGATAAAATGATGGGGGATCAAAGGTGCAACAATCCCCACATCTTGTACCAGAGCTTATGAATTTTCCATAATAATTCACCAACCCAAGGAAAGACCTATGTAACCTGGCCTCTATCCTGGCACCCATAGATTTGTTGTTTAAAAAAATAAGGGTTAGCCTTGGAAAGTCTCACAGCCAAGAGCTAGCCTTTAGGGAAGTGAAGAACCAGCTGTCATCCAAGGTGTTGGCACACTAGGATTCAAAGTGAGATGTGGTGCTGACATGAAACGGCCCTGCATGGGTAAGGGGCATGGTTGATGCGATGTATAAAGTTCAGGCAGGTGAGGTAGTCCTTAACAAGCATGCTGATCACATGAAAGGTGCAACCTCACAAATGGCATAGGATCAAAACATACCTGGCCCTTCAGAACATCCAAAATTGACTGAACCTTTGGGTTCTCCCCCTCCGCCTAGTGTTGAAGAAGTCTCTGAGGATGAGATGGACACTGTAGATGTCACAGCCTGAACACTGCTACCGCCTGAAGATGAATTTTGTCCAAGATGCTCTGGACGCAAGAGACAGGCTAAGGTCTGACACACACCACCTATATCCAAGGCAGAGTTGGAGCAACCAGACCTGGTGCAAAACCACTCCAGGAGACACTACAAAATGAATGAGCCTACGTCCCAGGACTTTGAAGGGGAGGGATGTAGTGACTGGAATGAGGTCTCCGATTGGAGTTGTTAACCTGGTGCAAACAACGAGTCTTATAAATAGGAGTGTCGGGGGTTCTGTTCACTCTAGGAGCCAGTTCAGAGCTAGCTAGGTCAGTGTCATCTATCACAGAAGCCCTGTGTTGTGGGAGCAGGCCATTCAGCCCATTGAGTCTACATCGACCCTCTGAAGAGCATCCTTATCCCTGCATTTTGCATAACTAATCCACCCAGCCTACACATCCCTGGACACAATGGACAATTTAGCATAGCCAATCATTCTAACCTGCACATCTTTGGACTGTGGGAGGAAATCCACACAGACATGGAGAGAACATCTGTGTGAAGCTTGCACAGTCAGAGGGTGGAATCGAACCTGGATCCCTGGCGCTGTGAGGCAGCAGTGCTAACCATTGTGCCACCTTCTGTACTGCGTGCAAATGAAGAGTGACTTGGTGACAGGATACTGGCCTTTGTGGAGTTATTTCAGGTAGAAAGCAGAAAACAGATTTCAGAATTTGTGGTTGTTGGTCAGCTCAGTTGGCTGATAGGTGGGTTTGGTGACACATAGTGATGCCAACATTGCAGGTTCAATTCCTGCATTAGCTGAGGCTTTCCTGAAGGTCCCACCTTCTCAACCTTATCCCTTGCCTGAAGCTGGTGACTCTCAGGTTAAACCTCACCAGTCATCTCTGTCTAATGAGAGAGTAGCCCTATGATCCAACAGAACTATGGTGACTTTATTGGGGCAGCACGGTGGCTCAGTGGTTAGCACTGCTGCCTCACAGCACAAGGGACCCAGGTTCGATTCTGCCCTTATTCTCCCTGTGTCTGCGTGGGTTTCCTCCACGTGCTCCAGTTTCCTCCCACAGTCCAAAGATGTGCAGGTTAGGTTGGCTGTACTAAATTGCCCGTAGTGTTCAGGGATGTGTAGAGTAGGGGGATGGGTCTGGGTGGGATGCTCTGTGGGTTGGTGTTGGGCTGAAGGGCCTGTTCCCACACTGTTGGGATTCTATAAACTATGAATGGTCACATACAATGGTGAAGCTGGCTCAGAAGGGCCAAATGGCCTACACTCATGCTTCTGTTTTCTACATTTGAGAGGCAAAATAGTTGCACACCAGAAGAACCAGTCACAATTTCTGCCAATCCCTTCTACTACCTCAGGGGCCCTTAATATCTCTTAAGTGCAGCATTGCTAGCTTACACAATAATATGCCTTAATTGCAATCTTGGCATTCAGATTTTGAGGCTCAGTTTTTGAAACATTAAAACCAAGTTTGAAACAGCAGAGACTGGGGTAAAACAGAAGCAAAAGGGAGGAAGCCCAAAAAAATCTTAATCGTCCCAAGCTCCAGAACCATTAATCTCTGCATTGATCTCTTACCTCTGGTGGATTCTCAGTAAAACCAGTTTTTGAACAAGCTTTTGTTGGCTGTCCCCAGTCCCTTTATCTGACCCTCAAACTATTGCTATGAAGGACTGTTAAAAGGACTGCTCCACCAGAGACTAGGGAAATTGCTCTCATAGGCAATGCTCGAGCTAAATAGTATCAACAGACTGAAACACATGAGGGACAAAGAAATAGAAAGATTTACTGGTAGGGTGAGAAGCTTGGGTGGGAGAAGGATTGAGTAGAGCAGAAACAGCAGCACAAAACAAATGGACTCAACATCCTTCTGTAATACTAATTCTATGTAATACACATTAATAAACTGGAAACATTCAGCATGTGCAACACGTCTCAAAGAGAAATTGTGAATTAAATGTTTCACATGCCATCAAATCTTTGGTAACACAGTTTCCCCAACATCTTTTAGTGATTGGCAGATTCATATTTTGCAACATTAGCTGATACCTCTTCAGTTGTAATACACGGACATGTTGCATATATTGCATAGATTTATTTAAAAAGCATCTTTTTCCTAGTTAATATCAGTTCTGAAGGGTCTTGGACCCAAAACATTAACTCTAGTTTCTCTCCACAGATGCTGCCAGACTTGCTGAAATTTTCTAGCAATTTGTTTTTTGTTTCAGATTTCCAGCATCTGCAGTTCTTTTGATTTTTTGCATGTCTTAGTCCTGTCTTCCCTCAAGAGCATAAAGTATTGATCCAATTGAGGTAGTTTTTAAAGATCATTAAATGATTCAATAGCCTTCTTTCTTTCCATCCTATTTTGTCTAGTGGTAACTAGAGAGAAGTGCGAGGGACCCACACCCAGGATGAGGGGATAGAATTTGAAAAGGAGATTGTCTAAACAGAGGTGACATCAGGAAGCACTTTTTCACACAGGGGTACAGGGGGTGGTGGGAAAGAAGATCTGAAACAGACAAAAAAAAAAATTAGAGGCTGGGAGTCAATTGGAAACTGTAGGAGCGATCAAAGGATTGTCGTTGGATTAAGTGTATTAAGGTTGGAGAAACCAAGAAAACTTTAAAAGCTGCAGATCAGCCACAATCTATATGAATAACAAAACAGGTTCAAGGGCCTGAATGATCTCCTCCACTTCCTGGGTTTCACACAGGGCAGGGCTGAATGTGTCTCATACCAAAACCAATCTCTCAGGTTTGTAAAAAAAAACTTGACAGAAAAACAGGAAGTGGTGTTCACTTCTCAGGCTGAATTCTGAGAAGAGTAAAAAAGCAGCTGGCGCCAGTATAATACTGCGCTATTTTAACAGCCCCGCCCCTGCACACCATCAGACTCCTCTCCCCCTCTTCTGCCACCAACTGCAAAGAAAGCACGTTTATTTCTAAATGATGTTTCATAACACAGGTTACTATGAAAACACTTTGCAGTCTCTCCCAGGACAGCTCCCTTGTTCTACTTTAAAAAAGGTGCCATAGGACCTTTTAGATCCACTTAAGGGGCAAATGTGTAATCTCATCTAAAAAAGGTCACCTCTGGCACAGCAACATTCCATAATATGCATCTCATCAAGCATTGTTGTTCAGGAGGCTCTGCAGTGTCATCTTGCTGTGTACAAATGAATTGCTATCCATTTTGCTCACATAAGTAACCAAAATGATTGGAGGCAGCCCGAGGTGGAGAGGGATGCTGTCTTGCCTGCAGATTTACCCTTGGAGCCCTGTGCAACTCATTATCCAATGGGGGTGGAGGGGAATAAAGCATATACCTGATCAATGCAAGGACCACATGGCTACTAACAACTCAAGAACATACAAGGGTGGCAATATCAAACATGTAACAAAAAAACTTTAATGAAAAAATTTTCAAAATATTCTTTTAAAACAAAGGATATTAAGTAATAATAGATGTCAGCTGAAACAGATTATTACGCAGACATAATTTAAAGTACACATTTTAAAGTTTCCTTTCTGAAGCAGTTTTTGCCCCGGTGCCTGCTCGCTACAGGTGCCGAGCTGGTCAATGCCATTCCCTTGGGTTGAGGTGGGACGGAATGTCACAGATCTTCACAGCTACGGAGTCCTGAGCTCGATGAACAGAAGATCTCTGCTCAAAGCATATGGCACATCAGTTTGTGCTTTCTCCCTGCCCCAACCCTTCTCGACTTCTGCTGGCGTAAACATCTCCACCAATCTCCCACTCCCATCAGCCCTTATCCCACAAGTTACAAATCAGTCACAACCTGGCAGGGACCATAAGTACAGGAATAGTGTGCTGGAAAACTGTTCGGCCATGTAGCAATGTCACATACCAGGGAAAGAGACATGCTTATTCTCTCAAAACCAGGCAGCGAGTAGGAAACATTCATCCATCCACCCATCCCAGAGTAGCAAGGCCAAAGGCCACTTGTATTCACATCCTCATTCAGAATGTGAGGAGAGAAGGTGGGGGTTGGGGGAGAAGTCAGAGGAGCAGTATCTCATTCAAGAAAGCATGAAGGTATTTCCTTTATAAACAGTACTGGGATACACTATGACGTGATAAATAAATTTGTGCTTCTGCTTGATCTGCACAAGTGATACAGGAAAAGCAGGATGGTTCACTTAAGAGCTTGGCATTCTGTTCCCTCCACACACACTTACCCCATATTCCTGAGTACATCTATTCCACTAGCCTCTTCACTGCACAAAGCTAAGGCCCAACACAGTTCATGGCAAGGGACAGATTACAAGGAGAGGCTGCAGAAATTTCAACAAAGAAAAAAAAAAAAAAAAAAATCTTTAAATTCCAATGCTTAACATATCCTTTCGAATGTAAAAATAAGCACAGGAAGTCAGCCAGCCAGCATGGGACAGAAAAAGTAGAGTTCAAGATCGTGCCCAGGTTCACTGCAACGAAAACCTTACTGGAAAATATTCTAATTTCTCTTTTCACAACGCTGAATTCCCCTTTTGTCCATTGCCAAGTGTTCTCCATTTTAAATTTCAATTTCTCCAGATTTGCAGTTATTTTCATCCCAATATTAAGAAAAAAGTGTAATAAAATAGAACACTTGACGTATGAACGAACATTCAGGCAATAAGGAAGAAAATTTAGCAGAATGCCAATTTCCCAGTAGCTAGGCTTTTCAATCCCCTCCACCACCCTTCCTCAACGCAGCTCTACTGACACTCCTTTCAGGGAAGCAAATAAATAGATTGATATAGAAGCAAATTGGGATTGACAAGTAATTTGGTGCCTTGCTGCCAAAATGGATACCCTAAATCTAAAACGACTGCCCTAGAGGCTAGGCCAAGAGTGATCAAGTTGGAAAGATTATTTTGGAAATGGGTGTGCCTGGTGAGATCTAGGCGTGGAATCAAACCACACAATTACACAATACACCTCTTTATTATCCGATGAAAATGGGTTGTTCTAGTAGTGATGTGGTATCAACCCATAAGGACTGAGGTGCAACACCTTTTAAAAGCTATTGTATCCTACAATGTAGCAAGAATGACCCAGTCCCTCTCTTCTCACATCCAATATACAACCTACAACATGTCTCAAGGAGGCTTGAGTGCTGCAGAGCCCAGTATATCTCGAAGAGCTACAATTACATTGTGCAAAATTTCTGTACTCGCTCATCTAAACTTTTACTGGGTGACATTTCTGCAGCAGCCCCTAGTTACTTGGGCTGAATATGTGGAGTCAATTTCAACTGGTGTGTTTTTGCGGATAACTCAGAATTGAGTCTCAAAGGCTAAACATATCCTCATTAGTAAGTCAAGGCAGACGCATTATGCTCAAATAACATCACATTTCCCAGCATTAGGGGTGACATTTGGAGCTGAAGTCTTCCCTGCTCATCCACTCAGAATTTCCAACAACGAGAGGAAGAGGAGGGAAAAAAAAACTGACGATGCCTTGCATCAACATCTAAAACTACTGTGAGCCAAGATCACCAATGCACATCAACAGTGACATTCCCACCAATGTCTGAATCCAAACCATGGCAACCTCTGGGAGATTGGGAGTGAGCTAGTGGAGAGTTAAGAAGAGATCTTCAAAAAGTTATAAACCCTCCCATTCACTCACACCTTCTGGGGCATTAAACACACAAACGACCACATCAGCCTGTGTTTCCTCTCAAAACAAAATATAAACATAACCGGCATGGAGGGCAGGGACAGGCAAGGATGAGGGTTGGGAGAGTTCAGTCATCTATGCATATTATTTCCCCGCTCTTCTCTTTCTTTTCCACATTCACTCCGTCCTTGCCGCTTTCCTTTTTCTCTAAGACAGAAGGACCGTTGGATGCTGAAAAAAAAAGAGAGGGGAAGATGACAGATCATTCAAGCTGTAACTAGTCATATCTGATTGACAGGACATTTCTGAAAAGTTGCTGCTGTTCTCCAGCAGGCAATTTCCAATTTCAGCAACTACCCAGATACCCTCACTAGCTTCCACATCCTTATTTTAAACCCTGCTGTATAAATGCAATTCCCTGTTCCTTCAGAGTTCTGATTCATCTCCGACTGGGTTCAGTTCCGCCCACCTCAGCTAGGAGGCTTCCATCTTGGAGGAGGAGAACAGATTCAGAAAAGTTATACAGGAACTTAGTCTTAAAAATTGAGAGGGCAGCTTTTTTATAAAAATAAAGCATAAAAATAAAAACAAATGCTTTCATGGGATATGACAGCATTTTGGCCAGGTCAGTGCTCATTCCCAATCTCCAAGGGTCATCGAGATGGTGGTGGTGAGTTGACTTCTTGACCTGCTGTAGTTTCTCTGGTAAACCTATACCTGTGCAATTAGAAAAGGAGTCGCACAAATTAAGTCATGTGATTAAAGGATTTGATAAGGAGATGGTACTTCCTGAGGTGGGGTGGGTCCAGAACCCTAAAATGAGAGGTTGTTCAAAAGGCAACTTCAGGATGCTTTCCTTACTGGGCAGGGGATGTGGAAATCTGGAACATTATCCCATCGAAACACTGTTGAATCTAGAATTGTTGGTGGTGTGATGAAATCTGCTGCAGTTATTTTGTATGTACAGAGCAAGCCAGCCATTTATGGCAACCATGGAACAGGCTGTTCTAAATTTTGTTAGATAGCAACAGAAGGATGGGGCCATTGCAAGGCTTACACTCAGCAGTTCAAAGAATAGAGATAGAGACTGAAGACCAGCAAGTCTGAGAGAGCGAGTAGACCCCATGTTAAAAGTGGTGACTTTTTAGCCATATTGCAGGGAAGGCAGTTGAACTGTAGAGGCTAATGAGTTACATCCCAAGAACAGTTTGATAATGCTACACTGTTAGAACTCTGGCCAAAGTTCTGGCAGTTATTAGTCAGCTAGGTGTTGCAGTCGGGGCTAAGGAAAAGTCCTGGAAGTTATGGCAGCACACAAGAGATCGGATACCTGAATGGGTCAGTACAGCAGAGAGTGGAGGCTGAAGAGCCACAAGCAGTGTCCATTTGATAGAGGTGAGCAAGATGAGACTGCACAAGGCCAGATTTGGCCTAGTGAAGCCAGCTGCTGGCAAAAGCTGGAGTTGTGACCCTGGATAAGTACCCGATTGCATTTTTTTTTTTGGAGTCCAGGTGTGCATGGACTCAAGCAAGGAGGGTGACTGACCACAACAGAAGTAGTTTTTGAAAGGAGGTTTCAAGGCAGATAAAAGAATTGAATTCCCTTGACGTTTAATGAGATTTGATGCCATTAATGTCTGGGGGCAGGGCAGCGGGGTGTTGTTGTGGGATTGGTCTTGAGTACATTTACTATTTAAAGTGCATGGTTGGCTATTTTATCACAGTATGAGCCGGGAGATGGGATTCCCCGTCAAATTACTACTATTAAGGATACAGGGTAGATCATAACTTGACCGACATCAACAAGTTGGACCGAAGGGTCATTTCTGTGCTGTATACCTATATTACCCATTCTATATTGCCATTTTCACCATGTTAATTCACAGCATTATAAGTAAGTTGGAGAATGATTGCGAATATATACTGCTCTAACACGTAAAGTCTTTTTTGTTGAAAACCACAAAACTTTATGCCTTCATTCTCTTGGAAAGTCTGTGGAATTTGTGTCATTGTCTACTTTAAATACTAAGAAGGACAATGGTCCCGAGACAGATCATAAAGTTGGTGTTCTGGTCATAATGGCCACATCACAAGACCATCGAGAGGTTTCCAAAGCAATGGTGTCACCGTGCTCAGACTGGAAAAGCCCAGTGACTCTCCTGCTTAGCTTTCACTGATGGATGCTCAGTCCAGAGAGAAAATAAGGAGGTGGAAGACTTAATATTGATAAATAAATTGACTGAAAACCAATTTTCTGTCCTTGCCAACACCAATGAATAATGGTGAATGGAAGATACTCCAGCATACAAGCCATTTAAACAAGTTGATGGACTTAAACAGCCGAAACTTTGCAACAGTTACATACATTAAACTGCGTGAGCAATTGAACTACAGCACAGAAACAGGCCAATCAGCCCATCTGATATTTCTGCTCCACAGGATCATCTTCCCACCGACTCAGTTTCTCCAATCAGCAAATCCTTTTATTCCTTTCTCCCTTTTGTTTAACCAGCTTCCCCTTCAATGTATCCAATACTGTTCACTTCAGCCATTCCCTGTGGGAACTAGTTTCACATTCACTTCACCTGCTCTCCAGAATTCCTGACTGGATTTATTAGTGACTTTGATGTTGATGACCCAAGTTCTGGACAACCCCCAAAAGTTGAAACATTTTTGCTAACTCCAGACTATCAAAACCCCCCCATCATTTACAAAAGGTCTCCATTACATCATTAGGGACAAAAACAGAAGTTGCTGAAAAAGTTCAGCAGGTCTGGCAGCACTGGTGAAGAAAAAAAAAAAAAAAAAAATCAGTTAACGTTTCAGGTCCAGTGACCCTCCCTCAGAACCTGCTGTTAGACCCGCTGAGCATTTCCACCAACTTCTGTTTTTGTCCCTGATTCACAACATCTGCAGTTCTTCTGCTTTCCATTAGGTCATCCCTCTTTTTCCTACAGGAGTGAGCCTCCTACTGGTCAGTCTTTCCTGACTACTGCAATCCCTCAGTTCTTGCGTCCTTGCTGTAGAAAATGCAAAAAAATTTTAGGATGTCTTTATAACCTTTTAAATCATGTGATGATTAGAAAAGACTCAAGTGCAATCTGAAACTGCTACATAAATTATATCAATTGCCCCGTTTTTAAATTCTATTCCTCTTGCATTATAATGAGAATCTGCACCCCTACATCTTGCTCCTCTGGCCCACAACTTCATTTTCCAATGAATATGTGGCCTTCCTATTCTTCGTAAAATGAATCATCACCTACTAATCTAGCCATTTACATAAATTCTCTGTTTATTAATAATCATTATTTTGTTGCACTCCCCTCTCCTCCAAATAGTGTTATCATTCAGTATTGCATGGCCAATTGGAGTTTAAGGCTCTGTTATGCTAGCAGTTGCTAGGTTGTACAGAACTGGAGTACATTTTTGAAACAAAACCATCTGCTGACATATGTCGATTATCAGGGCAGAATCACAAAAATACTACATTTCAAAGGGAACAACCAGTTCTGATGAAGGGTCACTCTACCCAAAACATTAACTCTGATTTCTCTCCACAGATGCTGCCAGACCTGCTGAGCTTTTCCAGCAATTTGATTTTGTCTCTGATTTACAGCATTCACAGTTTTTGTATTTAATTGAAGCGTATTCTTGTAATAAAACTACTTTATGAGGTGTACATGTATCAGATTAACATTACTACAGCAAACTGGGCCATATTTTCCAACTGCCTTATTTAAAAATTCCTGTACCAGTTTCAACAAGAGCTCAGGATTTTATGACCCTTGTTAAACATAGAACAGGTCCAACAGCACCATATCAACACCCACCTTGATGTTATTCTAAAACTAATTCCATCTGCCTGCACGTAGTGCGTATCCCTCTGTTCTCTGCCTGTTTAGGTGTCTAAATGTAGATTTAAACTTTGCTAAACGTATATGCTTCTACTACCTCCGATGGCTGTGTCCCAGGCACCTACCACCCTCTGAGTAAAATAAAAAAACTTCACCTCTCCTGTAAACATTCTCCCTCTCACCTTAAATCTATGCTCCATAGTATTTGAGATTTCCACCCTGGGAAAGAGACTCCCACTATCCATCCTTCTCATAATTTTATACACATTTATCAGGTCACCCCTCAGCCACTGATGCTCTCGCAAAAGCAATCCAAGTTTGTCCAATCTCTCCTTATAGCTAATACAATCCAATCCACATAACATCTTGGTAAATCTCTTCTGTACGCTCTCCAAAGCCTACAGAGTTTCTGGTCAGAATGGCGCACATTACTCAAATTGTCGTCTAAAACTCATGCAGTTGCAACAGGAGTCGCCAACTTTTATACTCGATGCTCTGGTCAATGAAGGCAAGCATGCTGTACACCTTCATTGCCACCTTATCCACTTTTAAAGGAACAATGGACCTCAAGATCTGTATATTAAAACTCCGAAGAGTGCTGCCATTTACTGTATACTTGCCTCTTTCATCACCCAAAATGCAAAACCTCAAACTCCACCTGCCATTTCACCACCCAACTTTCCAACGGATCTATATTCCGCTGCGTCATTTGACAACATTCCTCAATATTCATGACTCCATCAATTTTCAGGTTGTCTGTAATCAGACCACCTAAAATTTTTCTCCAAATTATTTGTATATATTACTAGATCCTAGCACTGATCCTTGTGGAACATCATAGTCACAGATCTCCACAGGTGGCTACCCTTTGTGTTCTATGACCAATCCAACTTTGTATCCAATTTACCAATTCATCATGGATCCCATGCAACTTAATCTCTGAACCAGCCTATCATGAGGGACCTTGTCAAAGGATTAGTAAAATCCATGCAAACAACATCCATTGCCCTACCCTCAATCATCTAAGCTCAACAAAGCATCTTTTTCTCAAGCTGTACTCAAACACTATTCTACCAAACAACTTTCTTCAATTTTGAATGATTGTACATCCTTGACTTCCTATGATCCACTGCTCAGCTGCCTTGACTGTAAACTCTACTTTCTTCCCTAAACCTTGACATCTGTATTCCTCTCCTTTGTTCAGAGGCTCCTTAGAAGACACCTCCTTGAATAAGTTATTGCATGGTTCATAGTGCAGGGCTGTCAGCCTACAGAATTCTCTTCCCCAGAAAATTGTTCAGGCATGATCATTAAGATTTATTTGAGAGAGTTAGATAAATTAAAGTCGAGTTGTACAGCATGGAAAGAGATCCTTCGGTCCAACTCACCCATGCCAACTATCCTAAATTGATCTAGTCCCATTTGCCAGCATTTAGCCCGTATCCCTTTACGCTCTTCCTATTCATATACCCACCCAAAGGCCTCTTTCCAATATTGCAATTGTACCATCCTCCATCATCTCCTCTGGCAGTCTATTCCATACACACACCAGCTCTGCATGAAAAAACTTTCCCTTTAGGTCCTTTTTAAATCTTTCCCTTCTCACCTTAAACATATGCCATCTATCTTTGAGCTCCTCTACCCAGGGAAAAGACCTTGGCTATTCATCCTATCCTTGCACCTCATGATTTTATAAACCTCTACAACATCACCCCTCAGCCCACAACACTCCAGGGAAGGTAGCTCTCCCTATAGCTCAAACCCTCCAAACCCAGCAATATCCTTTTAAAGAGATAACAAGGTGTAGAGCTGGATGAACACAGCAGACCAAGCAGCATCAGAGGAGCAGGAAGGCTGACGTTTCGGGCCTAGACCCT